ACCCGATGAAGTGCCGGCCGAATTGTTTTACATCCTGCGGGCGCAAATATGAGATTTTGCTAATACCGACCGCCGTTCCTGATCGTGCGTGGTTATGCATGTACATCAACACTCTTACTAATTAGTGCGACTAATTAACTACCTGAAAAAACCAACACCTGCTTCTGGAATCTTCATAAGGGAAGCAAATAAAACGTGCGTCGCACCGCCTCTTTTGTTATGCTAGCATATATACGGAGTAGTATAATTATATGTTTTCATTTAAAAACAAATAAGTATACTTATGTTTCAGACAGACACGATGCGTGAGCTGTGAGCAGGAAATGAGCAACTTGAATCGTACACGCACGTGAGAGTTGACCTGAGATATAATTTCGACTAAACCTAACGCTAAAGCAGCCGCCCGGCCGGCGCCCGACAGGGCCACGGGCCATGATGCTGGCATGAACCTGGAACCGAATCGTGTTGTACTCGCTCACTAGCAGTAGCGGAACATGATCGATCTGGTACGTGCGGCTGAATAGCACCTGCTTCTGGAAAAGGAAAACTGCGTGCGTACTCGCGTCCTTCTGAAAGAAAGCTATTGTTTCTGTGCGTGGTGCAGTGAAACAGCGATTGCCGGCCGCCGGCGGACTTTCTGTTTACATCTTTTTTTCAGAGAGAAACTACGGGCAGTTTTTCTATCGGTTGCCTGATCCAAGCAATTAATCGAGATGATCGGCTGCATATCGCATATATATATATATATATATATATATATATATATATATATCCAGATTGAAAAAAATGGCATCCACGACCACCACCTGGAATGTTTACAGATGTGTCAGGACCCGCAAGTAGCTGCGGCTGCTATTTGGTACAACGATAACGATGTGAACCGGTCGTCCGGGCGGCCAGACGCATCCAATCCGCGCTCCCTTATCCTATTGCGAACGCACCTGACCGCGCGCCGAACCAACCTACTCGTGTCGCACGCCGCCCCCACACTCATTCCTTATCCTCTTGACTCACTCTCGCAGCGCCCGCCAGCTCGCCGGAACGGACGCCGCGCGCCGCGCGCACCTCGCTGTCACCCTGCCCGCCCCCTCCCTCCCTCCCTCCCCTCTGCGCAACCTCCATGCGACCCTGCGCTCCCCAACGACCCCGCTCCCTCGGAGACGAGGACGACGGCGGCGGTCCGACGAGGTAGGTCGGTTCTTCTCTGATCTGAGCCCTCCTCCTTATCCTCCTCTTCTAGATCTGAGCGCTCCTTCGTCCTCTGGAGATCTGAACCCCCCTCCTCCTCCTCCTCTGGATTTGAGGGACGAAGCAGTCGCTAGGGTTCCGGCGAGCTCTGGGGTCCTATTCCCTTCTCCCTCCGGCGAGCTTAAAGGTGATGGGCCAAGGGCTGTTTTGTATGCTTTTTTTTTTTTTGTTACTCCCGTGTTGTAATGGGTGTTTTGGATGTTGCAACATATGATTTTCGAATGTTGTAATGGGATTTTTGGGTCGTTGCAACATATGTTTTTGCGATGTTGCAGTACTACTGCTTGAGATGTTGTAGTACATAATTTTCGATGTTGCAGTACATATTTTTTTATGTTGCGGTATATGTTTTTTTAATGTTGCAGTACATGTTTTTCGATATTGCAGTACATATTTTTTTTATTGCGGTACATATTTTTCGTTGTTGTAATCCATATTTTTCGATGTTGCAGTGCATATTTTCAATGTTGCACTACATATATTTTCGATGTTGCACTATTTACAACCCCATGTTACGGTACATAGTTTTTCTATATGTTTTGTAATGTTGTAGTTGAAGTGTTTCATGCTCTTTTGGGACAGGCACGCGTTGGTACAAACACAGTACTGTATGTTAAGTGTATATTGGAAGTTTCCATCCATAAACGATGACTGACTTTGGTTCACTGGAGCTCTCTCTCAGGACCGAACTGAACGGGACCGGCGGCGTCGCTCTCTGAAAGCCTGCATGCAAGCAACTGCCAGCCGAACTGCCAAACTGCACGAACCCAGAGTCGCCGACGCCGACGTCGTGGGGACACGTATCCAGCGATCTCCTGCCGCTGCCAGGACGGGAAATGGGCCATCTTTCCTGCGGATCGCCGCGGCCAGCATGGAGACACGAGGCGAGCAATGCAAGCTGTAGACTACTACCCTATACCACTATAAGAGCAGTATAATAATAAGCTTATAGCAAAGTTAGTCATCATCATGTTCGCTAATGTAAAGGAGGGAGGAGAGAAAAGAGAAGAGAGCTTAGCTCTCATACGAGCAATAAACTGGACACGGAAGCATAGGCATCTCTGGACCCAAATAAAAGTGTATATGAGGAAGAATAGAAAAGAGAAAGAAAGGCATGATACTACATAATAATAATAAACTTTTTTTTATAACTAAATAGAAGATAACTATTGTATATCTTAGCTTTTATAACTTAACTTATAGCCAAACACTTAGCTTTATTATCGACCATGCTCTAAAGGGTCGCTGCACGCCTGCAGCACGTTGCAAAGCAACGGCTGCCACGGCAGGAAGCGGAAAGATGAGTCCCTGGGCCATTATTCGCGAAACTATACATGCCGCCAACTATTGACAAAGACTTGTCTATAGCTACTGGCCGCATAGACGGTCGTCGCTCGTCGGTGAGTTCGCACTGACCGAATCAACATTCAACAGCCCAGTAGGCATAGTTCACGTTCACACCGTGTGGATCGTAGTACGTCATATGCCATATTTTGTTGCAAGGTCAGCACCTGACGTGGAGATCTTTCAAGGAAAGTCCCTGATGTGGGTACAGAGTTTGGTATGCACTGGCTTGGCCGTTTGTGCCCGGGATATCTGAGGTCATACTCAACTCGATATTCCCACCTCAGGTCTGCTAAGTTAATGCTCCCTCATGCAAAATCTCTTCTTTTTAAGTTTGTTCTATAAATCAAATTTTCATCAAACATATAAAAAATAAAATAATATATATAATACTAAATATAGAAACATCACTCCTTAAGGCATTAGGACTTGAAGCCACCATTGCTGGGGCACCTTGCAACCGCCGTCTAGGTGTTATTCCTCCTCCCTCTCCAACGATGATGCTGGTGGTAACAAGGAGTCCCATCTCTTATTTCAGTTAAGCAATTCTTTACATTTAGTTAATTTAGCTTTAGCCTAAATATTCCCCACATCAAGTCTGCTAAGTTAATGCTCCCTCATCCAAAATTAAATCTCTTCTTTTTTAAGTTTGTTCTAAATCAAATTTGATCAAAACATGTAGAAAATTAAATTAATATATAATTAATACTAAATATAGAAACATCACTCCTTTTTTGAAGGGAACAGGAGGGGTGTGAGCCTCTATTGGAATTTTAATGAAAAGAAGAAAAACGTTCCCCAAGCCCCCATTGCCGGGGCACCTCGCAACCGCCATCCCTCTCCCTCTCCAACGCACGATGATGCTGGTGGTAACACGGAGAGAGTGTCATCCCTTATTTACAGTTGTAAGCAAATCTTTACGTTTAGTTTATTTAGGATTAGTCTAAATAAATCTATCGGTAAAATCATAATAAAATACTAATTTATAACCCTAATTGGGCCATAAAACGATGAGTGCGCAAGGTCAATTAGGGTTTGTATACTTGTAGGTGTGTCAGATTTAGACTATGGGCAATTTTGAGTATTTTTTTGTTGGGAAATACAAGTGCAATTTTTGTTCGGAGTTTATCATGATTTCGATTTGGAATTGTTTCTCCAATTGCCACGAGATGCTAGACTGCAATGACATTGTTCACCACTAGTTCGCTCCATGGATATAGTACAACAGTTATAGGTATATCATTGCTCTGTTCGTTTGGCTGATAAGTCATGGCTGAAAAATCGTCGACTGATTTGCTGAGAGAGAAAAATATTGTTCGTTGGCTGAAAAAGTATGGCTTAGCCAAGCAAACATGGCGCATGTACGTACTAAGTGAACTTGGATTTCCTGAAAGCATATAACTGACTATTTGTAGTGTCGGCGTAGGGCAATAGCGGGTAGGGATGGCGATCCTACGTACGGATATTGTACCCAATGAGTGTAGATATGGATATAGAATTCCGACTACTGGTGTGGTTACATGTAAAAAATTCTATCTACGGATACAGAATCAGGTATGTCGCTTTACCTATTGGTGTTTATATATAAATTAATTATTCTATTTGTTCTAGCCACAATTTAACTTGCGGGTACGGGTACGGGTATACCGTGATATAGATGCAGGTATGAAATCCGTTATACGGTTTGTTGTGGACGGGATATTAGGTCCGTTCTTTGTAGCTAAACAACGGCTGCATATGGTGACCTTTGCTTACAGAGTTCTGCATGGTCCACCTTTGCTTACAGAGTTGTAAAAAAAGGTTCTGTCGCCTTGCGGCGATTCAGACATTCTGTCGCAAAGCCCTCCCGTCCATAGATGTCTTCATGAAATTCAAGGAGCCAGCGTCAGACTGCAAATGTCACTAGGTCAGATAGCAACGCAATTTCACGGAAACGTGTGGCCGTTGGGGTGCACTGTGCACAACGGACCTTCGTGCAGGCCTGCAGGGTTTATATAAACACTCTGTTCTCTGTATAATCCTCTGTTCTCTGTTCAAACGTAGTCGGAAGTGTGTTCGACGTTTCGGTTTCCACTTTCCAACACGCATTAATATCGCGAAAGACGCTATCTGTTCCTTGTTTCGAATGAATTGGATGATAAGCAAACAAGTGCTACAAGCCAGTTTACAATTCCCTACACTATATATATTTTTAAAAACCAGAACAGATCGTTAACATCTCAGGATACGAAATGCATTATAGATAATTCTCCGGAAAAAAAAATCAGATTTCTTCCATACACATCTAGTTCCAAACATCAAAACTGCATGCATATTCATCCTCGATCCAGCTTCTTAAATGTAAAACAAGGATAGCACAGAAAGTATTCTTAGAACACAGGGTAGTATCAATGAGCTTGATCGTGAACCTAATTCATCCTTTTGATGAGCTCATTGATGTAGTTCTCACGGTTACCGGCATCACCACCCTCCACGTAGTGGTTCCTCTTCTTCTTCAGGCCTCCCAGCGGCGCCTTCAGCTTGAATGGCCACAGGAAGTTGTTCGCCTCCTTGAAGTGTGGGCCGACAATCATGATCTCGTGAACAAGATCCTCGATGCAGATGATGTTGTGCTTGCCCAAGCCCTGATTGAACACCAAAGGGTGGAGATCATCATGTAAATTGTCAAATACAAAGAAATCACCGGAACCAGGTCGAGAGTTCCAAGATACAAACCTCCTCGATGACTTGGTTGTTGGACAGAGGGATCCTCTGCTTGTTCAGCTTTCCATAGCCCCTCTTGTAGATCAACTCCCTGACACTCTTCAAGTTCGGGTACCTAAACAGGATTTACCACTTCAGTAAGGTCATCAGAAGCTGAGAGGTCACCAAGCAAAGATGCAGTAACTACTCCAGATGCACTTCTATTGTAATAATGTTTTAACCGAAAATAATTGAATATACATGCATCACTGTGCATCTTCTCTTTATCAAAAGCAAAATACTATCACCATATTCACTGATGGGAAGTGCTAATCTGACAACAATTCTGACAAAAGAACTGAATGTAGAACCTCACAGCCTTGATTAGGCGTGCAATCTAGGGCCTGTCTGGTACAGCTTATAAGCTGCTTATAGCCAAAATAACCTGAAATCAACAGCCAAACGCAACGCTTTTCAGCAGCTTATTCTGGCCACGCTTATTCCCACAACTCCCATTTGTGCTAAAATGCAGAAGCTGGATCAGACCAGCTTATTTTGACCGCCGCTTTTACTCTATTTGTGCAGCTTATCTGGGAAGCGCTTCCCAGATAAGCTGTGTACCAAACAGGGCCCTAAAGTCCAAATTTAGTATTGAAACACACACCATTCTATTGCAAATTCACTCAAGCAACAAATACAATAGTATGATCTGTTTTCAACAGTGTACTTCCGGTGGAAGATATATCAAAATAAGCAGCAAGACAAAAATTAAATCAGCAAAGAAAACTTACCCATATGCAACATATGGCTCAACCAAAAATTAAATCAGCAAAGAAAACTTACCCATATGCAACATATGGCTCAACCCTGCGAAGCATGTTAATAGTAGCCTTGTTGACCTTCAGGAACACGCCATTGAAGATCTGAAAAATTAAATGTTCAGTTTTACGAACAATCGAACAAACAATGCTTAAATAACAGAAATTGGTGAACCCACCTGCCTCAAACGCAGAAGCTGCAAGATCTTCCTGGTCTTAGGGTGCATGGCATTGATACTGTAGTTTCAACAGGATTAAAAACAAGGATGAGCATACAAATTTCTCCTCTATAATACTGGCATAAGAATCTGTGACTCACCCACGGATGCGGACCACAAACAGCAGCTTTGCCTCAGGACTGACATAGAAACCACCCTTCAAACGGGCCTCACGCTTAAGCTGCACCAGTTCCTTCTCCTGCTCCAAGCATCCACATAAGCACACAAATAACACATCTCAGTTCTCTATTTCATTTCATAAAGAAACCATATTAATAATAATGGCAATGATCCTTAATGCTAGACGAAATCACAACCATCTACTGATCACATCATCGGACATAACTTTATATTACTTACAGTGACACAATAAAAAAAAGGGCGTACCCAGTGCAGAGAGCTCCTGCTCTATGCGGGGTCTGGGGAAGGGTGTCAGTGGCAAGCCTTACCCTCACCTGTGCAATGCGAGGAGACCGCGACTCGAACCCGGGACCTTCCGGTCACAGGCGGTAAGACTCAATCGCTTGCACCAGGCCCACCCTTCACTTACAGTGACACACAATGCACAACAATATTCTAGATTGCTTACAGTTGGGACGATCAGTTGGGACGAACGTAGTGGTTCATTTTAGAGATTATAAATTGCTTGGGTTTGAGCATCTCGCGACAAAAGCATTAATCGCAGGTGTTACAGATGCACTAAACCATATAGCAGTTTGCTGTACAGGAGTGATAGTTCATCAACTAGTAATCTCTGTACAAGATAGGCTGAAGGAGTGATAGTTCATCAACTAGTTCTTGACATGCCATGTCTAGGACTGGTCTTATTCCTATTGGGTGTCTTGACAAACTACTATTAGTTGTCCTGACAAACTGCTATTAGTACTGTTTTTTATGTAGGACAGTAGACTGCTATTAGTACTGTTGGTTCTACAAATCCTAGCAGTGCAGAGCTCAGACTTTTCAATTTGCAATTTGCTACTAACATCATTGTTACACATTTTGTTTAAAAGAATCAGCATAGTAAGATTTGGTTACTGTCTGTTAGTCTTTAGACTATGCAGTATATTTTTTGATGGACGGGAGTTTTTCATCATGCAGATCATTTTCATGTAAAGAATTCAACAACTACACCACCTGAAAATCTAAGTATTCTCCAAATCACTACATTACCAATGGGTTGTACTGCTTGAGTTTTTCTAGATATAGGCTACTGCAGGTAACAATCAGACCCTAGGAGTTTGTCAAGTTTATGATGACTAGATGGGATGACACAGTTGCATGATAACAATCAAGATAAGGGGACATGTAGTGCAGCATCAATAGCATTAATTCATGCTACTTGTAATAGTGATGTTGTGAACATCGCACTCACTCAGTATCGTTTTTTGTATCCTACAATTTGTAGTACTGCAAGATGCAACTGGTAGTCCTGTTATTATGAGTAGTAGTCTGATGTGAAACATTATGTGGAGAAATTGTAACAAATGTCATGCAAAGGAAGGAAGTACATATGCATGAGATTATTTCTTATTTTCTTAAATTAAGCCAATCAGCATGGACAAGTGACAGATGTTTAACAGATGGAGAAACTCATTATTTTATTTATAGTTTCTTTATTTACACATTTTTTATAGGTATTTACACATTATTACTATCAGCTACTTGGGCTGTCGGGCATGCTAGCTTGTTTGAGCTACTGACAAGCTAACTACCTGTTTGCGGTGCATGAGCCCATGGATTGTATAGCTCGTGACAGTGCTCGTTTGTTTGAGATGGCCCTTGGATTGTAGTGTAGGATTGGCCCGTGGGTTTAAAAAAGGATCAAGGCGGACTAGGACGGTGAGGGTTTACAGAACGGATCGGATCGGACTGAATCAACTCAGTTGGGATCGGAGTGGGGCTGGGTCTATTCCTTAATCTCTTAGGATTGGAGTGGATTAGGGACGGATTGCGAACCATTACCCGGCCTAGGCGCTCCTGCTTTGGCAACACATTTCTTACTACCCATTGACAGCATACGATTATATTCCGTATTCACATTCGCATAACTAGCTCCGGATCAACGTAAGGTCATGATTAACACAGTCAAACCCATGTTAGCAAGAAAATAACACGCCGCACGCAAAGCCCTGCCACCCAACCCGCACAAACAGTCTACAAACAGGTTAGATCGAGCGGGAGCGGCGATCTGACCTGGGCATCGTACTCCTCGGCGTACTGCTTCGCGCGGGTGAAGATGAGCTTGCGGCTCTCGATGGACTTCTTCTTCTCGGCCAGGGCCCTCTCCTTCTTCTCAGCGGCCCACTGCTCCTCGCGCTTCTGCTTGCGGAGCACCGACTCCGGCACCGCCACCTTCGCCGCCTCGGACGACATCTGCACGGCCACACGGCCCAACCAAACAGCAGCTCCTCAGCCACAGATCGAAACGAGCGGCGAACAACGAGAGCTGGCGTGGCGTGTGCACGGTCGCTTACCTTACCTGGACGAGCTGCGTAGGAGAGGGGAGACGCGGGGAGAGCGGAGGGCGGAGGTGGACGCAGGCGGCGGCGGGCGACGGGAGTGGGAAGGGCGGCTTATGTAGGAGGGGTTTGGTCGCTAGGGTTTGTCGAGGTGATCCGACGGCTGGGAACGGTTCGGGACCCCAGCGTGTGATGGTGGCCTGTTTGCGTGGGCGGAGCCAGAGGATAGTCCAGCCCAGGACTACCCTGGATTTTGGCCCAAAACTTTTTAGTGCTCAGCAAGCCCATGAGAAATTGGCCTACCTGCTTCCCATTCTTCCTCTCGCAGAAGAGCCCAGGCATCCGACCCCGATGCGCTTCCAGCGCGAGCGGGCGCCGGCGTCCGGCCTCTGGCGACCGCAGGTCCGCAGCCCTCGCCAGGCGCCCCACCCCCGCGGCCCCGCCAGTTCGCCAGGTCCGCCGCGCGAGGTTGGATGACGTTGGATAGAGAAGCAAAGGTAATACGTAACAAATAAGGCAAGGCGGATGGAGGGCTGGTAGGTGGTGGCTGGCCTTGCGTGCGTACAGACACATGGTGGAGATAAGTCAGAGAGAATATGTACAGAGTAACAAATAAGAGAGAGAGAGAGAATATATACAGAGAGAGAAAAAAAAGAAAAGAGACAGACATTTCACTGTTTTTTAACTAGTGAATATAAAGCTAGAAAAAAAATCATCGGAGTTGGAGGAGTCATAGCTGAAGTTATTTTAACGGGAGCTGGACTGTCAAATAGGCCCTGAAAAAAAGGAGAAGAACCGCATCCGATTTCGGACCTATTTATGTAATTTCTGAACCTTTTCATGCGTTATCGCAATTTGGTTAACTTATATAGCTAGTATTGCACATGAAATTTTTTTAATTTTATTGTATTGCACATGAAAAAAAATTTACTAGGATTACCTGGTGTCAAATCGGCTCTGCTACTGCCTGTTGGGGACATGTGAGCTTGTGGAGGCTATAGTGGGCCGTCAAAATTGTTTGGCCCATCGCAACGTTGTAGTGCCAGAGCGGGCCGGTAACACGACGCTTTGGTTGGACCTGGACGGGTATGCGCCGCGCGGGTTCGAACGGACTAGTCACAACTGTCGTGGCCCGTTGTATTTTGAGCCTTTTTTCTATTCGGAAAACTTGGGCCGCGCGGGTTGCGTCGCCCTAAAATAAGGTCCACGAAGGAGCATTTTCCATTTTTGTCGGAAAAAGACATCGTATGCATATCACACTTATAAACGTACACACAAATACACACGCACACTACCATACGAACACCTTCGCAAGACTAAACCAGTAATAACTATACAGAGAAACGGAGTCACGATAAATACGTCTACAACGTTGTTGACGGACGAGTCATATACTCACATATATCACAAAAGAGGACACTATTAAGGGCACGTGATACATATGGCTAATTACTAGTTGGGCTAAAAAATTAAGCTAAATTAGCAACGGTTGGCTAGTTAGTTGGATAGTAACTAGTTAGAGTCTTGGCTAAAATCAGCTCATCTATTGGCCCTCTTTGTTTGGAAGCACCGGGGCTAATTTAGATGAAAATACAATTGCCCGTGTCGTCGGTAGGTTCCATCACAAGAACTAACCAAGTTTGCAAAGAAGACGCTAGTTGCATGAAAAAAAAACGAAGTTGCCGTTTGGAGCATACTACGAAGTTAAGGCCATGTTTGGTTCATAAGAAAAACATAGGAAGATCAAAGGAATCAAGTTCATATATGTTTTTTCACTGTAGTAGTGTTTGGAATAAAGGAATACACCCAAACCGTTTCAGAGAAAAGGTAATGAAACCTGCAGTTTTGGAGGAAAGAAAACATGAGGTCTGACCTCATGAGAATATTTCCTGCGGCTCATGCACTCTCACACGCACTAATCTGCATACTCCTGCATGCATGCACAGTATGTGCTACTTCCTGGTCCCTACCTGCATGCACAACCATGTGGCACGTCGAAGGAAATGACAAAGAGTGGTTTTATCCCCGTCGAAGGAAATGACCAAACGCAAAATTGATGTGTTAAATTTTATGGCACGTCAGGAACTTCTCCGAACGAATAGTCCGTCGCAAACGGTGACTAGTCCAGCTCTACGACAACCCCAGTTCCTGTCATATCATCACTCAGAGCAACTGCAATAATGGTTTTATAGCCATACTAATACTTAAGTAGAGAGATGGCAACTTGGCTCTCATGCAAACACCAAACTGAACACGAAAACATATACATTAGCGGGTCAAGTAGCGAGTGATGTGAAGAGAAATAGAAGAGAGACTTTTTAAAAATAAATATGAGACACTTATTGTATAACTTGGCTCTTACTCCGTATAACTGGTCCTATAGCCGAGCAACTTGGTGGCTAGACTAACCAGCGAACGATCATACGATTAAAAACTAGCGATGGATTTTTAGACATCTAAATTTTCTTTTTTGGAAAATAAACAATTCCCACCGTTTCCATTTTAGTACAGTGTTGCCGCCCTAAAACATCTGCAGGCGCACCCCGTGCGTCCACTCCGCTCATCCGCTCCCTCGTCCTTGTGACGTGCAGCTAGATAAAAAAGCAAAATAATTATTTTAAAATGTTATAACTTCTAAACGATGTATCTATTTTTATTATGTCTGAACCGGTGTGTTCTACGTGATGAGACGAATAAAACAAAACCCCACTTGAATATGCTTCAAAGATTTTTTGTAGTAGCAAACTAAATTATAACATATAATTTATAACCAAAACTTTCAGACACAAAAAGTTATAAAACACAATTTATCTAAAAAATTATTAAACGCAACTTGTGCACATAAGTTATTTTATATAACTTTTATACATAAGTTATTCTATACAACTTAGATGTATAAATTAATATCATAACATATTAGAAGATATGTTAGTAGAATGCATAAAAGGAAAATTGATAGACTATTATAAAAAGTAAAAAGAGAAAAAAGAAAAAAAATGTTTCATAACTTTGTCTATAAGTTTTGGTATAAGTTATAAGTTGTATGATGATAAGTTTTGCAAATTGTTATATTGTCCAAGTTGTTATTATAAGGTATAAAAATAAGTTGTATCCCATAACATATATGTACTTTGTAAAATGAAAAGTTATGGAAATTATTTTTTCCTAATAACGAAAGTGGACTAGTTGATGGTTCGCTGAGCACGTACGTGTTGGATAATCCTATCGTGGGGACCATCCATAATCTCTTCCACTACTACTACGTACACCCTTCCGTGAAAGTAATAATGGGTCGCTTGGCACCTTCCGTGAAAGTAATAATGGCCCCGTTCTCTCCAAGGGATTTGGAAGAATTTAAATTAATTAAAAAGAATTTGGAGAAATTTATGAGAGTAAAATACTGTTCCGAATAAAAAAAGAAGTGAATTTGAATGAATTAGAATTAATTTGAAGAAATTTATGAGAGCAGAACAATGTTCCAAATACACGAACGGAGCCAATGGGTCGCTTGGCATTGGTTGTGCGACCAACATCCCACAGTTAATTTGTCGATAGAGAAGTCTCCACTCTCCACTCGCCATCTTTCTACCGCAGTAAGGACTAGTGTGTACTGTACCGTATCTGCGTGTCACGCACGAGTGACACGAGCGGACGTCGACTTCCCACTGCAGGGACCAGGGAGCAGGCGGGCAGAGTAGGAGATCACACACCAGCTCCGAGCAAAATTGGAGTCTGGACAAAGGGAGAGCCGGAGAGGCAGTGACAAGAGATTGGACGTGCAGTCCGGTCCGGTCGATTATTGTCCACACACCACAGGTTCATCGCCCAGCGACACCGTAGCCACTAGCCAGATCGCCAGACGCCATAGACGGATGAGGACGATGAGCATGAGCCTGGCAAATGGGTCTGCCAGACTGGAAGTACTGTTTACTTCGTTGATAAACCACGACGAAAAGTATTGTTTATTGATTTATTATGAGAAAAAAATAATATTTATTAACTAAAAAATACGATTTATAAACCCATCGTTCCTTTTCTACTGTAGGACCTGCGAAGCTGACTTGTGAAGGTGCAGCATGCGGAAAGCGCTGAAAGGTCGATATCGTTTATCAAAACTACAAAAAGATGTCCATATCATAAGCAGATTTGGAGATTTGTGTATCAGCGGGGATGGTCTGCTCTGAAAGGTTTGATTTTTTTTTGTGCTTTTTTTATTGTTCTCAGAGAATCAGACTTAGGAATTGTGCTTGTGCAAGTGTGTGCTCGACTTGCGGTTGCAATGCAGGTAAAGGTGCCTTGTCGACGCAGTATGTGTGCTGGCTTTAGTAACATGTCATTAGGATGTTATTACTAAAAAGATAAAACGGAGTGTTCGGCTGAACTTAAAAAACACTGTTTATGCTGGTTTTTACTGTTTATACTGGGTTTTTTTTTTAGAGAGAAAAACGTTGCTCCCGCTGGAAAAAAAAGGACAGCCAGCCAGCCAAATCTGACCAGCCGAACCAGCTCTGTTTCGTTGACAGATATACAGCATGTTCGCTGGCCATTTTTTTTAGGCTCATAAGTCCGACGGATACTAATACGTTGTGAGAGAAAAATACTATACTACGACTGATAAGCCTTTTTAAATTCAACGAACGAACAGCCCGATAAAGAACAGCCCGATAAAGAGAAGAATAATAGGACAGTGAAAAGAGGAAAGACAAGCAAACACTATTGCACGTCTGCACTAGTAGTTCAGAGCGGATAAGACCAGACGTTTGACTGCACAAGAAAATTGACAAAAGCTCAAGAGCTCACTTGTCACTTGTACCCCCAACTGAAAGCCAGATGGATGGCAGTGGACACCTTTAGAACATGTTTGGATCCATTAGACGTGACTCAAGTTTAGCTGTTAAATTTTGTTGCTAACCTTTACTCCAGTAAGGGTGTTTGCAAAAGTTTAGTTCTTCATCTTCATTCTACAGTGACTAATTTATCCTCATTTAATTAGATCATGAGAGAGATAGAGAGGGCGCAGGTGAGTGGGTAGAGGCTATATGGTGTCCAATGCACCCCACAAGGCGTTTTAGCTCAGTTTTATACCCTTTGAGTAGTAAATGGACAAAACTTTAATCCATCCCATTTGTTAACTTTTAGTCCACCTATTTGGATCTTCATTAAAAAAAGGGTTAAAGTGCAGAACTAAAGTTTAGCCATGGAATTCAAACACCCCCTTAGCTGTTATGATAGTTAAGTGATTGGATAACCAATTGGGTCATGTTTGGATACAAAGTATTGGATAGATAAATACTATGGTTTTACAAAATACTTTGATTTTTTAAAAGCTATTAGGTGTTTAG